TGCCCCTGCTCCAGGAGGGGCCAGCCTCTGGGCAGGGAGCTAATCTGGGCTCCCCAGCCTACACCACAAATCTGCCTGGGAGCCTCACAGGTCCTGGGAAGAAGTCCCTTTTGCCCCCCCGGGGGGGGGGGAAGCAGCCTCCAGCTCCCAGGAACCTGAACCCCAATATCCAGCACCCCCTGCCTTTCTCCAGACTCCACTCCTGCTGACCCAGGGGCTGGGCTGAGCTAGCCTCCCTTCCATGGGGAGCTCAAGCAGGGTCCATGGGGGCGTAGGGCTCTGTGCGGGGCTCCACGAGGTCCCGGAGGGGGCGTGGGGCGCTCTCACCGGCGCAGGACCGGGACTTCCAGATCTTGAGCAGCAGGATGATGATGGCCAGCAGGTGGGAGATGTCCCCCAGGAACCTGAAGATATTCATGGCCCCGGGCAGAGCGGGCCCCGGGGCAGACGGAGGCGCTAGTGCAGGCGCTGGAGCCGGTCCGGGGAGGGGCGGGACGAGGGGTCCCTTATTGTCCGGCCTGGGAAAAGCAACGCGGAGCGAGGCCCAGCCTGGCAGCGAGGGGCGGGGACAGTAAGACCCTCCCCCGGCTGGGTCGGGCCACTGCCGGGCTGAGAGCCACTCCCAGCCCGGGGTGGGGACATAGGCGACAGAGCGCCCAGCCGCTCGCCTCCCTGGTTTATATGTCAAGTCCCACTCCCTTTCCAGAGCGGGGAGGGAACCCAGGCGTCTGGCTGCGAGCTGTCTGCCCCTGCAGTCCAGAGGAAGGGGCTTGCTTGGGTCAATCAGGTTATTTCCTGGAGCAGAGGATCCAGCGGGAGCCCAAATCCCTGGGTCCCGTCCCTGCTCGGAGAAGGGGCAAGAGGTGCAGTGATAGAGCAGGGGGGCAGATACCTGGGATCTATCCCAGTTCGGGGAGGGGAGCTGGGGCTGGTGTTCAGAGCAGCGGGGCTGGAAGAGAGGAGGCCTGGGTTGTAGCCCAGTCCTGCAAAGGGGCGGGGGTGTAGGGGGACAGAGCAGAGGGGCTGGAAGAGAGGACACTTGGGTCTGGGAGAGAGCTGGCACTCAGCTCTCCTACCCATCCCAGCTTCCCAGGTGGTGATAGACCCCTATGTCCCCCATCCACCCCCTGCCTGGGGAGGTGATAGCAACAGGGCCTTATCCTGAGAGCTGCCCAGCACGACCTTGCCAGCCAAGAGCAGAGCAGAGCCCCACCCGCCAAGGTACAGCAGACAGGGGAGACAGCATGAAATGCAGCGAGTGTGCCTGATCTCAACTGAGGGCAGGGAAATCACCCCTTCTAACACAGGCTTCTTGGGATGCTACCACCCTTGTACCCAGCTCTGAGCCCAGGCTGCCTGCCCAGCCCTGTACCCTTGGACTGAGCAAGGGCAGAGTCCACAGTCAGGCAGGGGTGTTCAGTGTCCTGAATCACCCTGCCCTACCCCACACTGTGACTGGGAGCCTTTAGGGGGAAGGACCTGTTTGAGCAGCCCTGGCTCCCAGGCCTCTCTTTCCGCCCCCCTCTGCAACCCACCAGACTCCACTCCCCTCACAGATGTGGGCTAGAAGCCAAGAGTTCTGGCTCCCTCTTGTTCTAATCCATCAGACCCCCTCTCCACCCAGGGCCAGGATAGAAGCCAGGAGTCCTTGCTCCCAGACTCCCTGAAAGAAATCTGATATCCTACTCCTATACCCAGCAAATGCACCCAGTGTTGAGGTGTGGCTGCTGCCACCTGTGTAATACCTGTGTAGGAAGTGAGGGAAAAGCCTGCCCAGCTCCCTGTGCCACAGCTTTGGTTGTCAGCCACATGGCAATACCCCTGGCAGCCAGCAGAGGGCAGCACATGCTCAGCAATGGGTACAGCCAGCAGTCCTGTGGCAGTCTGGCTGGAGACTCCGTTCCAGGGGCCCCGTCAGGGGGCGCATACCCAAAGAACCTTGTCTGCCTAGGGAAACTGAGGCACTGAGTGCAGGATGGGTCACCTCACCCACAGCACATGCCAGAGATGCCAGATAGCAGGGCTCCAAGCCTCCCTGCTTTGGCCACCAGACTGCATTGCCTTACCAAAGTGGGGTCCCAGGAATCCTGTCCCCCTGCTCCCCCACTACCCCATAGCAGCCTGCTCCTCTTCCAGAACCAAAGTAGAACCCAGGTGTCTGATTCCCATCCTGCCATCCCAGTCATAACCCAGTCTCTCTTGTCTTTCCTTTGACTGGCAGTAATGAACACCCTAGGGGCACAGCGGGACCAGGGGGCTGGGTGGTAGAGGAGGCTGGTGGTGTCCGAGGATGGTTGGTACTGGGAACTGGTTGGTGGTGGTGGTGGGGGGGGTGTCTTCATGCTAGGAGAGGGCCTGCAGGGGGGGCATTTTCTCCCTCCCTTACCCATTCTGTGCATCATGCAGCTGATCATCTTGCAATCTGGGGTCCCCGCTTTTTAATTACAATGTTAATTGCTCTCCCTGATGCGCTCAGATTCACATGAGTGGAATGGCAAACAAGAGAGCCAGCTGGTGGAGTGCAGGGAGGGCGGGGAGGGGCAGGGAATGGAGGAGGAAGCCAGGACTCCTGGGTTCCATCACCAGCGCTGGGAATGGAGTGGGATCTCGTGGTTTAGAATAAGGGAAAGGGACACCAGGACTTCTGGGTTCCATACCCAGTGCTTGGAGGGGAGTGAGCTCTGTTAGGTTAGAGCTGGGAGGTTGGGAGTCAGCATTTGGGGGTATTGAATGAATAAATCCAAGATGTTTTTCAGAGGCCTTCGGAGAGAGTCTGAACAGGCTGGAGATATGTTCTTAACTGTGCTTCTTTTATTGGTTTTGTTAAATGCAGCCGTCTCTGGGGTGAGGCATGTCAGGGGCTTGTTATATAGGATCTCTCACCAGATCTGAAACTGAAATGCAGTTGCCTCTTCTCTTAAACCAGTTGCCTGTGGAGGAAGGGGGGGCTTAACAAGGCAGAGATTGGAGACCAGGGAGTCTTCACAGGTGCAGGAGCCTCTGGCATGAAGCCACTAGGGGGTGCCAGGGACTCCATGCTGCCTCCTATCCCGGGGTTGGGACAGAACCCAGGAATCCTGTCTCCCAGTCCCCTATTCTAACCCACCAGACCCCCCACTTCTCCCACAGATGGCATGAACCCAGGTGTCCTGGGTCCCAGCCCTTATTCTAACAAATAGATCTTCTGTCTCCCTCATCCTGTGCTACACGTGCTGCTCCTGGGCCCCACTGCTGCTCTGCCATTGGACTTTCCCTCTGTCATGTCTATTTTTTCCTCCTTTCTTCCTCATTCCTCTTATCCTCTGACAAGAGGATGAGCGTCACAAGCAGGAACAGAGCCTTTGTTCCTCTGTGCTGCTGTGCTCCCTGCCGCTGCCCACCAGCCCCAGCTGCAGTCTTCTGCTCATGCCCATGCCTACGCCCATGGTGGTGTGAGGACTGTCTGGAGCACCTCTGAGAGCAAGCACTGCTGGACAGAGGTTCTGGGGGGCCCCTGCTGTGGGGTGTAAGGGGGGGTGATGGGGGGTACCATGTTGTAGGGAGTGGAGGGACTTTGGGGGCACCATGCTGGCAGGAGTGAGGCAGATACAGTAGAGATGATGTTGTGGGCAGTGGTGCAGGGGCTGGATGGGGTACACTGTGCTGTGCAGTGAGGCAGAGGTCTTGGCAAGGCAAGATGTGCTTCAGGGAGGGAGCTGCGGGGGTTGATGGGGTTAATGGATAGGGAGATACATGTGCTAAAACTTACTGTATCTGGACTCCTGGGTTCTGTCCCCACTTTGGAAAGGGAATGGGGTCTCATGAGTTAGGGGAGATGTGCTGGGAGCCAGGGCACCTGGGTTCTTTTCCCATGTCCTGAATAGAAGAGGCAGGAAACACAGTAATAATTGCAGATGTCTTAAATTGTGTTTAAGGCAAAACTCACATACATGACAGTGCGTGTGTGAAAGAGAGAGAGGAAACACACATGGCATTCTGCACAATTTGCATCCATGTCTGTTTCTGAGTATGAGTGTGAATAATAGCTATGTATTGTGTGTGTGTGTGTGTTTATACGAGTTTGTGTGTGCTCACATCTCTGTGTTTGTGTGTATGCGAGTCTATCATGAATCTGCATCTGGCTGTACATGTCTGTATACATGCCAGTTTGTTGGATTGATTTTTGTGTGTCTGGGTGCCCTTTTGTATCTGTTTGTGGGAGTTGGTATGAGTCTGTGCATGTTTGGGTGTAGTTGTATGTGTGTGTGTGTGTGTGTGTGTGTGTGTGTAGTGGTGTGTTGTGTGACTATGTGTGTGGTTGTGTATCTATGCAAGTCTATTGTGCAAATCTATGTAGTTGCTTCTGTGTATATATGTGTGTTGTATGAATCTGTGCACATGTATGATTGTGTAAATGTGTTATGTGAATCTCTGTGTGTAGTTGTGCATCTGTCTGTTTGTTTGTGTGTGTGTGTGCATGTGGACACACGCACTCATGCATGTGCACAGGTACTGTATGAAGCTGGGTGTGGTTGTTAACTTTCCCTGTCAGCTTAAAGATGCAAATGTGACAGTGCTGTGGGCAAACATCTGGGGGAAAAAACATTTAAAACATAGGAGGCCCTAGGAACAAATTGTTTTCAATGAATGGTGGCTTCTGCCTAGGGAAATATAACAGTCTACAACTGCTCCTGCTGTAGACCACTGGCTTTGAGGCAGCACCTGGGAAGATAACAACCCCAGCTGAGAAGTCAGAGGCCCAGGCTGCTGTGCCTTAGACCTTGTAGTTCAAATCACTGCCTGTTCAGCCCCATTAAGTAGGTGCCCCCCCCCACACTGCCACTGGTTTTCCTTAGCAGGGTCCCAGGAGGGTTTTCATCACAGCACAGCACCCCCTGATGCATTTATCCAGAAGATAAAACTCCCTATTGTTGCTGACTGAAGGACTCTATTACAAAGGGTTAGGAGTCAGCACTGCCTGTGAGCATCCACCAGCACCCAGGTTTTAGCACTGACTGGGACTGGGAGAGGAGAGCGCCCCCTACTGAGCCCCCCACCGGGTCCAGACAACAGTGACTCTCCCCCGCACCCATGTTTACTGCTCACCGGTCACCCATCCACCTGCGAAGCCTGCTTGGGCCCTGTTTAGCTTCCAAGAGCAAACAGCAACTCATGCTGCTATGCTACAGGGTCAAAGCTGTAGGCTTTCCCACCTCCCCCAGGATGTTGGGGAGAGGCTCTCCCGGGTGTCTTCTCTCTCTGCCCCAGCTCTGCATCCGCGGGTGCAGGGAAAACCCGAGGCTAAGTTACACCCAAGGGAGACGCGCTAGTGGTCGGGTGGGCCCAGTGCTCCTCACCCACATTTCCTCCTCCAGGACCGCCCCCCTCCTCTCCCTGGAGGGACCCCCGTCTCCGTTGGGGGGAGGGGCGATTTCTCTTCTCTCTTTCCGTCCCTCCCCCCCCAATTTATGGGGAGGCGACCCGTGGGGCCTCTGCCGTGCTCTGGGCTGGCGTCCAGCTGCCGGGACCGCAGCGCGCCTGGCGGCGCCTCGCAGCCCCGCTCCTGGCGGGTGCGGGAATGGGGATGAGCAGCTGCTGGCTCGG